TCCGATTCACTCAAATCCACAAAGCGGTCCATATTGTACCCGGGCATTTCAGAAATTATAATTTTATATTTGCAGGTTTAGAAATATTGTCAAATAACAAAACAGATTAATTACATTTAATTTATTTTATTATTTAATTTATTTGCAAACTTTATTATAAAATAGAAACGTAAATAATTATAAATACTGTTTATTTTAATTTTAAGTAAAATGGCTATTATAATATGATTGAAATATTATTTCATATTGATAATATGCATTAATTGATATAATTTCCTAGGATACTAAAGTGTTTTGATTAATAATTATAGATATTGTCAATTAAATCATTTACTTAATAAATAATTTTAAGCATAAATATATTTAATGTGCATATTTAATAAAAATAAAAATTTAATAGATCTCGTTAAAATTATTTATTAATACTACTAATAATTACAAGCACTTTGTCGCAAACACAATAAAATAAATATTATCAATTTCAAAATTTAAAAAATGTTTAACATAGACAATATGATGTGTACCATAGTAACCAGCACGAATAATTACTTGCCATTCATAATTTGAATATTGCTTTTTTATGAGTTCCCGAAAACATTTAGCCATTTCATCCAATTTAGTTGACCTCACAATGGCGTTATTGAGCAATATTTTTATGTTATCAATCTTATCTTGCTTCATTGTCACCTTGACAATTCTAAACTTTTCCCTAATGTAATCCATTTTAAATCTTAATTTTAGGGCGTTATAGTTAATCTAAGAAAATAAAAAATTTATGATAGTTCAATTAATTCTATACTTGAATTAATGATTTATTAATTTAATTTTTATATTAATAAAATAAGTACCCGTTCATTGTCTATTAGACTGTTACTTGATCATGATGCAACCGGTTCATTATCATTTGTTGCAAGCTCTAATTTCCGTTTTAGGTCTTGATTATCCTTGTTCATTTTATTAATTAAATCAAGCAGTGATTCAACGCAATTATGCTTGAATAATTTTTCACAATGACATAATTGACAAATGCTATCCATAAATTTACAAGTAATTGTGTGCTGGGTCAATTCACCTAATTTAAGCACTTCATTACAACCACTCTCTTGAAAATCGCACCGAATTTTCAAATTCATTAACATATTTACCAAGGCCCTAAACATATAAATTTATATAGGTGGATTAAAGTCTATTTTTGTAAATACAAATTAATTTTTACCTTGGTGGCCTAGTTAAACTATCAATTTTTAGTACTTTTCTGTCGTGTGGACAGGTAGTTTCCGTGTTAAGCCATTCATTGATACACTGCTCGCAAAACATCTGTAGACAACAGGGGGCCACCACTGGGTCCCGGAGTATGTCCTGACATATACTGCATTGCATTTCATCCCTTTCCGATTCACTCATATCCACAAACCGGTCGATGTTATACCCGGGCATTTTTGATGCAATTAAATATTAAATACCAAAATAATGAGTTATTACTACAATATATTCAAATTAAATATAAATAGAATTAATTGAAAAAATATTGAATAAAATTGTATAATTTACAGGACTTGTATGAAATATTTTATGTTTTATTGAGATAATAAAAATTATTTAATATAATTGCCTAGGATACTTCCATTATCTGATGGATATAGATAAAGTAAGCATGGCATTAAATGTCGTAAAAGTGTGCTTAATGCACTATTGAATGTAATGATTAAATGTTTTGAATACAATAAAATATAGTTACTAAGATGGTCTAGATAATTAATAAATCTCATTTGTTTACTTGCATTATTTTCTAACTGGCATTGTAACTCAGCATTTTCATGTGATAGATGTTTATTTAAATTAAGCAAGGATGTTATGCATTTGTGATCAGCTACTCGTTTGCAATTGCAAATGACACATATATTAAAATCACAGTTGGAAATGTGCTTGCTCAGTTGCTCCAATTTAAGCACTTCCTTACATCCCATTTCTTTATAGTTGCAAATTATTTTCAAGTTTATTAACATATTAATTATTGCTCTAAATATAATTGAATTATAATTAATTAAATTAAAATAAATATGAATAGGTAAAATAATAGGTAATTAATAGTATTTCTTAATTAATCAAGTATATATTTTTTACTAGATTTAATTATATTTTGAGTTAAATAAAATAAAATAATACTTAGGTGGTTGTGCTAGTCCATAAAATAATGACAATACTTTTCGATCGTGAGGGCAGGTATTTGTAGTCCGAAGCCAATCTGAGATACATTGTCTGCAAAACATTTGTCCACAACAGGTGGTCACCACTGGGGCTTGTAGTATATTCTGACATATACTGCATAGCAGTGCATCCCTTTCCACTTCACTCAGATTAACAAATC